GTGGAGCCGCTTCCCACGCGGCGCGGGCTGCCGGGGCCGAGGGCCCAGCCCTGGCCAGTTGCGAGGGCTGAGTCGTGATTGACAGCCCGCCCAGGCGTGCCGTGTCCACCGGCCTGCCTCCCTCCGCGCACAGCCCAGCACCCGGCCTCGAGCCTGACCGAGGTCCCTTCCGCCCCAGGTTCGGGGCTTGAAATTCAGAACAGGTAGCAAGCTGGCAGGTCTCTCCCCAGGGGCCCTCTAGTGGCCTGGCCGGGGCGGAGTATGGGAAAGATGCACACGAGCCCGACAGTGCTTTTTTTGGGTCAAGTTTAATACACGCTAGAACAAGCCACAGAAGAGGGTGCTGCCAGCCCAATAACTACGCTCACCCCCAGTCCACCCCAGGAACCCAAACAGGTCCGGAACTGAGTCCACTGCCCCTGGGGAGGCCCAGGCAGCCCGAACCCGTCTGTCACCTCCGACCTCCCATCTTGCCCTCAGCCCAGACTCAGATGGCCCTTCCCACTCAGGCCCGCCCCTCCCTGGGCCCCAGGATCGCGTCCCTCCTTGGGCCAGAGGAGCAGCGGGGCACAGTGGTTCAGAGCCCTCAGGTCCGGTGTCCAGAAGCTGGGCTCCAGCCCAGGCTGGAGAAACGCGGGCGAAGAGCCGTCAGGGCCCTCAGGCGCCCACACACTCCACGTAATTGGCAGGGTACAGGCCAACGCGGCCGCTCCGCAACTGGCCCTGGCACCAGCCCTGCTCATCCTCCTCGCTCATCTTCAGCAGCTCCTCCCCTGGGGAAGGGGGCTGGTCACTGCCAATCGCCCTGGCCCTGCCCCCGCCCTGCAGCTGGGTCAAGGACTGCGCATGGGGTAGGCCAAGAGCCCAGCTAGGAGCAGCGACACGGCTCGGGCAGAGGGAGGTGGAAGTCAGCAAGTTGCCCCTCCCCAGACCCAGAACGCAGCGACTGGGCCCAGCTGGCTGAACAGCCAGAGAACTGGCCGTGGAAGAGCAGGTATTGGCTTCCCTTTTCCACACCCCTGCTTTGGCAAATAAGACCGAAGCCTGGGAAGGAACAGGAAAGGGGTCCCAGGGTACCTGCTCGGAAGCTCAGCTCATCAGCTTCCTGGCCCGCATAGTCATAGAGCGCCCGCACCCGTACCCCAGTGGCAGCCTTCCGAGGACTCTCCTCATCTGACCAGTCCTCGTCCTGCCCACTGCTGGAGAGAGGAGCAGAAGGAAGCAGCTCAGGGCTCGAGGGACATCTCTGGGGCTAGGACTCAGGCAAGGGGCTTACCCACCCCTCGAGGACCCCCTGCTAGATTCCGGTCCCAACCCATGACCTTGAGCTCTGGTGCAATGCCTGCCCCTTAGAGCTGATGAGGCATAAGTGACAGGGCATGTGACAAATGCCTGGCAAATCTAAACCACCATGGAAACTGCTGTGCGTTACAGCATCTAAGTGGGCCCTCAGGTTCCCGGCACCAGTTCTCAGCCCACTTCATTTGTGGAGGGAATGGAACAAAGGAGATCACGGAGAGAAGGTCGGAGCAGGCGGCAGGGCTGTTTCTGGCTCTCACCCTGGGGACCTCGGGGACTGGGGTGGGGGCACAGCGCCATCTCTTGTGGGCACGATGCTGGTCAGAGTAACCTCATCGGGGCTGCGGCCACCCTTCTCTTTTCGGCTGATCGTCCTCTGTGTGTCCAAGGACCACTCCTGTGGGGACGGTGCTCAGGGTCAGGCAGGGCGGCAGCTGCGATGGCAGCCAGGGCCATCCACCACCTTCACCTGCTTCACCCCACACCCTGCCTCCCTTCGGAGGCCCAGGCACAGCCCAGGAGGAGCCGGCCCTGCCTCCCAGCCCCACCCGGCCCGGGACACGTGCCTCAAACTGCGGCCAGTTCATGGCCATGCCCGGCCCGTGGGTGCCACGCCACCAGCGCAGATCCTCCTCGTCACTGGCTGCCTCAATGCTTTGCCGCAGGTCCTGGTGGAGTTCATGGAACCTACAGCCCAAGGCCCACTCTCAGACTGGGCCGGCCTGCCCCTGCCCCCCGGGTTCCCATCTAGCCCAGCCAGAGCCCAGGACAGGAGGGGACCCAGCATGATCCCCACTCTCCTCATCCACCCGCAGGCCATACTTCTCACTGCCGGAGAGGTCGAGGTGCTGGTGTAAGGCGAGCAGCATGTCCTTGAAGAAAAGAAGCCGCTGGCGCTCAGCGGCCTGGCAGGCCTCAAAGGCCTGCTCCATATCCTCCATGTAGCGCGGGGTGTAGCGATTCAGCTCCGCCAGCGTCTGTTCGTACTGGGTTTTTGTCTGGGTGGGAGAGGGGGGCTTGGTGAGGACGAGACCTTCTTCCACGCAGGATTCCACCAGTATTTACTGGACACTGCCGTGGGCTAGAGACTGAGCCAGCCACCAGGGCAATCGGTGCTGAGACCCTGCTCCTGCCCTCAAGGACCTTAGCAGCCTAACAAGGGAGGTGATATTCAGGTATGGCAGATCTAAGAGGCTGGTGGAGGGCGAGATGAGGTCGACCTACGGGAAAGAGTGGGAGAAATCAGAAAAGGCTTCCTGGAGGAGGTACAAACTGAGCAGCACCTCAGACGATGAGGAAAATTTACTGGAGAAAGGGCACTCCGGGTGGAACAGGTAGTGTGGTTTTACTATGCTGGAAGTCTTCCCCAACTGCTCTAATCATCCCAGTGTCTGAAATTCTGTTATTTATTTTCCCTGGGTAAAGCATCGTTTTTTTTTTTTTTTTTTTTTTGAGTCGAGTCTCACTCTGCTGCCCAGGCTGGAGTGCAATGGCACAATCATGGCTCACTGCAGCCTCCACCTTCTGGGTTCTGGCATCCTCACTCAGCCTCCTACAGGCACACGCTACCATGCCCACTTTTTTTTGTTTGTTTTTTGTTTTTTTTGTACAGATGAGGTCTCATTATGTTGCCCAGGCTGGTCTTGAACTCCTGGGCTCAAGCAATCCTCCCGCCTCAGCCTCCCAAAGTGCTGGGATTACAGGTGTGAGCCACCACACCCGGCATGTTCCTCCTTTATTTTATGTATTTATTTATTTTGAGACAGAGTCTCACTCTGTCGCCCAGGCTGGAGTGCAGTGGCACGCTCACGGCCACCACAGCCTCAACCTGCTGGGCTCTGGCATCCTTCCACCTTAGCCTTCCAAGTAGCCTGAACTGTAGACACATGCTACCATGCCCGGCTAATTTTTGATGTATTGTAGAGACGAGGTCTCGCCAAGTTGCCCAGGCTGATCTCCAACTCGCGGGCTCAGGCAATCCACTTGCCTCACCCTCCCAGAGTGCTGAGATCACAGGCTGAGCCACCGAGCCCGGCCTGTTCCTCCTTTAAGTGGTCATCTGGAGAGAGGGTGGCAGGTGAGGATTGGAGCAATCAGAGCACTAGGGGCTGGAAACAGGCGTTGGGGGAGCAAGCCTGGAACCTTCTCGGCCTCCTTGGCGCAGCGATCCACCCGCTCCTGCAGTTTGCGCAGCTGCTCCTGGGACACGGCGCTGTCCGCCTTGCCGTGGCTCTCCCGAGTCTGGGCTGTCTTCTCATCCTTCCGGGCTGCGTGGTAGCTTTTCTTGGAAGCTTCAACCTGGCACGCATGGGGACAACTCTGGAACCCGGAGGTCCCGCCCCGCCCCGGAGCCCCAGGCACACCTGCAGAGCGCCCGCCTGCGGCCCCCATGGCACGGGCTCACCTCCTTCAGCCTCTTGAGCCAGGGCTTCTGAGCCTTGCGGAAGCCGTCCTCGGCCGCCCGGCTCTCGCGGAATCCACCCAGCACGGGTCGGTGGAAGGCGCCGCGCTGCCAGGCGCGCACCCGCTCGCTGTCCTGCCCCTGCAGCTTCTCCCGGACCTCCAGGTGCAGCGCGCTCAGCCGCTCCGCCGCGGTGAAGAAGGCGTGCCAGGCCTTCTCCAGGGTGCCATATTGCGGGCCTGCGGGAGAGACGGGGCTTGGGCCAGGCCCACATGGCATCCGGAATGTGCCCCTTCTCTCTCACTGGGTGCTGCTCTGGGTGCCGGGCACTGAGGCATGGGGGGCTGCTGCTTACTGAATGCCTACTCTGTGCCCTGACATCCGAGATGTCTCACCCACCACTGTGAGGACAGCATCATTGTCAAGGCTAACACGGACAACGTTGAGGTGCAGAGAAGTGAAGTGAACTTGCCCGAAGTGTTACGAGTGTTACGGTAACAAAGTGGGACTGAGATTCAGACCCAAGCCGGCTGCATAAACACTGCACTCGACTCCTCAGTGGAAGAACCAACGTCTGCCCTCAGGAAGACGGCTCTGAAAGATCCTACCAGAAGGCCTGGGCACACAATCACCTCTTCCTAGCTGTGTAGCTTGAGGCCAGTCCCTTAGCCTCTCGGAACTTTCCATTTCTCCTCTAGAAAATGGGTAGAACAGAGCCACCTCTGTCATAGGGTTGTTAGAAATAGCAGAGTTGTGAACATACTTTGCAAACTCTAACAGCACAACTGTATCTTCCCACTTCACTTTTTTTTTTTTTGAGGTGGAGTCTCACTCTTGTCGCCCAGGCTGGAGTATAGTGGCATGCTCACTCATGGCCACTGTAGCCTCCATCTGCTGGGTTCAGGCGATCCTTCCACCTCAGCCTTCCAAGTAGCTGGAACTGCAGATGCATGCCACCACACCCGGCTAATTTTTTTATTTATTGTAGAGACGAGGTCTCGCCAAGTTGCCCAGGCTGGTCTCAAACCCATGGACTCAGGCAATCCTCTTGCCTTGGCCTCCCGAATTAATTTTTATTTATTTATATTTCGAGTCAGGGTCTCAATCTGTTGCCCAGACTGGAGTGTGGTGGCACAACCACGGCTCACTGCAGCCTTGACCTCCTGGGCTCAGGTGATCCTCCTGCCTCAGCCTTCCAAGTAGCTGGTACTACAGGCATGTGCCACCATGTTGACAATTTTTTAATTTTTTGTAGATACAGGGTTTCGCTATGTTGCCCAGGCTGGTCTTGAATTCCTGGGCCCAAGTGATCTGGATCTTCCCTCTTTAAGGGAAGGCAGACTTGGAAACCTGAAACTTCCCCCAAGAGGTGCAGAAAGAAGCTGCCCCAATGATCCCAGCCTGGCAGCCCTCTGGCCCCAGCTAGGCCTGGGTGCTGGCTCACCCTTCTCCACGGCACCCCTCCACTTGCGGGCCCATTCAGCTAGCTGCTGGGCATAGGCCTTCTCAATGCGGGCACGCTCCTGGAAGCAGCTGACCAGGTCTCCGCATAGCCGGTGCCCATCCTCCACCCGCTGCACCGTGCGCCTGTAGTTGCCAGCCTGGGCGTATAAGAAAAGGGCAGGGTCACCAGGGAGAAGCCCCTTCTCAGGCGAGGGCCTTCGACTAGGCTCCTCCCCTGGACAGGTAGCTGAGCTCGGGGGGCGTGGGCATTTCAGTGCCACCCCAAGCCCAGGACCCAGCTGCTCACCTCCCAGAAACTGCCCCCCAAGGCCTCCCCTCCGGCGTCATCTTCTGGAGCCATGGTGTCCCCGCAGCACGGAATGGTGGTAGATTTGGGGCTGTGGAGGGCAGAGGGGCAGGGGTAAGGCTTAGGGTTAGGGGTTAGGCAAGCTGGACATTTGCTTTTGGGGAGAGGAAATGACCCCGTCCCGTCCCTGGCCCTTGCCACCACCACCACCCCCACCACCCACAGAACCGTCCGAGCGAGCACTCAGTGGGCAGGGGCTGCAAGTCCCCAGGGGGAGCCAGGACACGGGTAAGGATGTCCTCTTCAAAGCACCTCCTCTCACTGGTCTGCCCTCCCCCGACCCCCTCATACCTGGGGTCTAGAGATCACTTCAAGGACCCGGGTGTCCAACTCTCAAAGCTGCCACTGTGAGTCTGCCTTGAAGTCAAGAAGAGCAAAGCGGGGCGTGAGGGTGGGGACTTGGAGTGTCCAGGGCGGTGCCCGGTTCCCCCGATATAGCAACTGCTGTCAGAAGCGCCAGATTCCAGGCAGGAGCATGCCAGGCGGGTCACACGATCCAGCCAGGATTAAATGGCCGGCGGGGGTGGGTGGTGGGCAGAGGGCCCTACTCCCCCAGCTGCCGATGGGGGAAGAGGACTCCTGCCCAAGCCAGGGCCCCTGTTGCCTTCCCTGGAACGACACGGCAACCCTGTTGCCAAAGCAGGCCAAGTAGGAGGGTGCCCGGCCACATCCCAAGAGCTGCCTGTGTTGGGGAGAGCAGAAGGGGAGCCCGGAGGCCTGGTCCTATCCTGGCCAAGAAGCTTAAGAAGTGCATGTTACTCTTGCCTCCTCAGGGGGCCTCAGCTCCCCATAAAGCGGAAACTCCCCCACCAGGTCGGCTTCCATGCCAGGCCAGTGTAAGACTCGAACCAGGCAAGGAACAAGAAACGCGAGGGGCCCAGCGTCACAAGGAGATACTCTTCCCGTTCCTCAACCTCCACTGAAGTCCCACAGGGCTCTGTGGATAACAAGCAGCTTGGTCCTGCCTTCCGAAAGTCCTGAGCCTGGGACAGCACAGGGGAGTAAGGCAGGTGACCAGCCCGTTATAAGCGTGTCCTCCAGAATCACAGAGGAGGGTAGACCAATTCCGGCCCCAGTGCCACCACCTCGGGGACTGGAGGATGCGGTAGCAGGTGGCTTCAGGGTCTCAGCTGTCCCCAGCATGGACTGACTCACAGCCCCCAGAAGGGAATCACTCCCTCCTCTGAGCAGGCCCAAGGGACAAAGCCAGGCCCAGAAGGACAGTGGGTGCCTGCTGCCCCCAAAGCAGGGCCCTGTCACAGCACTTCCCCCAAACTAGTGAACCCCTGCTCTCCTTCAAACCGCAAATTGGGCTATCTGCTCCTCAGCCACTTCCCCTGCTCATCCATCTTAGCTCCCACAGTCCCTTGTGACCCTCAGTTGAGGTACATGTCCCACTGGGTTGTGACTGACAGGAGTCAGTGACAGAGACGCCCAGGGTTCTGAGTTGTTTGTCCCCAGGCAATGGAATCAGCAACAATTTGTTAAATAAGAAAACAAATTATGTCCATCTAGAGATCAGGAAGGCTGCCAGTGCTCCTAGTTGTGGGAAAGCCTGGCCTGAGTGGGTAGGCTTCCCCCCTACAAACAGGCAGAAGAGGTCAGGCCTCCCTGGAAACCCAGCGGAGGTGCCAGGGCACAGAGCAACTGCCCCACCAGGCCCCCACAATCTCCTCATCTGGCTCCCTCTGGAGTCTGTCCCACTCGCCCAGGACAGGGCCCCTGAGAGGACCTGCCAAGTCCATGGAGAGAAAGAGAGCCACAGTCATAAATCACGGGGCCCCTGGAGCTGTCCCGAGCAGGCCTCAGGGACCTGGGGCCCCCTGCCTGCTCCAGCCTCCGTGCTCCGTGCTCCCTGCTCCCCAGGGAGCTGCCCCCCACCCGTTCCCTCTCTCTGGCCCCATAACAGAGCAAGCTGTGTGTGCAGGGCTGGCACAGCTCCCTCCGGCCTCCCAGAGCAAACACAAGCCCAAGCCCTGGGCACAGCCAGGCCCTGCAGCCCCGGCCTGACCTAGCTGGGGGAGTGGGCCTTGAGCCTTGCCCCTTCAGGAGCTTGGCGTCCTGGGCCTCCTGACCTCAGCAGAGCCTCACATCAGTCCGCACACACATCTGCAGGCAGGAGCTCAGAGAGCTGGTAATGCAATCTTCTCGGCCCAGGGAGCCAGCACCCATTGGGCCAAAGTCTTCTGGGGCTTGGCAGCTCTCCTCAAATGCCAGGGCCGAGGTAGGGAGTCCCAGGGTTCAGGAAGGAATGCACTCTCCCCACCTGAGGCCAGAAAGCACCCCACCCCACCTCCAGACCAGCAGCCTCCCCTTCCCAGAAGCCGGGGGCTTGCTCCTGGGAGGGGGCACAGCCATCCTGCCCTGCCTATCCCTGTGTCCTGAGTCACAGGCGGTGCCCAAGGGCTGCTTCCCCAGCAGCCCCTCCCAGTCAGCCCACAGCCCCGAGATCTGCGGGCCCTGGAGGAGGCAGTCGGCCGGTCCAGAGAGAGGCAGCGAGGCTACCGGTAGCCAGGGACAGCCAGGAGGTCAGGAGGCTGGGGGAGGGGTGGCAGGGGAAAGGGGGAGGAGGCAGGGCCAGGGAGGGGCATAACAAAGGGGCACTTTGGGAAACCCGACCTGCCGGCTGAGGTGCCCGCTCCCTGATGACGCACTCCAAGCCCAGAGCCGCCACACCAGAGCTCGGCGCCCAGGGGTGCGCGCCTCTGGCCTCAGCCCTCAGCCCTCCTGGACGGCGCCCCTTGACGCGAGCCGGGAGAGCCCATGCAGAGCGGCAGGGCCAGGCCTAGCCGTGGAGGCTCTAGGACTTGTTGGCCAAACTTGTTGAACTTGGTCGCGTTGGGGGTGGGGCCAGCCGGTCACCTCCACGGGGAGGGGGCGCCCCTGCCCGGGCCGACCTGGCCGCGGGCTCCTGATGGGGGCTCGGGGCAGGGAGCGGGGCGCTTTGCAGAGGGCCAGGGGTCGCGGGGA